GTTTATTGTTTAATATACAGGATGTTCCGAATACTTCAGTGTAAAAAATACGAAATAGAACTTGCTACAGACAATTGAGCAGTCTCGAATCAGTTAATAATTTAAACAAAACATTACCCCTCGTTTATTAAAATATCGGGGCTAGAATCTTAAACCGTAATAAATTCGTGAGATTCATTGTCGTCCTCAATAAGTAGATCGCCCTAGACCAATAGTAGGAGACACACAACAACTAGAATGCAGACATCTAATAGCCACTTTATTGAATTCAATTATCAGAGGTAATTTCATTCAATATAAAAGGGTCACGCTGTCGCTCCAATAAAAATAAAGCCATTATTGCAGTTGTGTACACTGTTGTATTTCTCTTTGTATATCAAAGGATAAATCTAGCGTTTTAAGTGTTATAGACGTTGTAAAGAAACCGCACATTTAATTTTATGTGAGCTCGGTTTTAATAGGAGGCCAACTGAAACTTAGCGCTCCCTTGCAATAAACAAAGTTGAATTTAAAGATATTATCTGGATCTAGACTGCGGCTTTCAGTGGGTTGCCACCGGTGTTGCCAGATACCTGTTTTCACGTGAAATCTCACGTTTTTATTATTAAACACCGTTATCATGCTTTTTTTAGGTAGACTACAGCGCTTTTTGGGTGAATTTGGGGTCAAACATAGAAGGATAGAATTTACCCTAGCGCGCAAGTCCAATATATTATATTCAGGTTTCGGACAAGAATTATTATCAATTCAAAAATAAGAATAGTTTATATCAAAAACGAACACTTTTACTTCTTTCCTGAGATAGAGAAAAAATATTAATTATTTCAATATTCAGGCTTATGGAAAGAAAGCCAATTTATATAACTGTCGACGTTTCGTTGTTTTATTGCAACATCTTCAGGACTTTACGAATAAAAACTGTTTTACAAGTCATTAAATTAACCAAAACAAAAGCAAACTAACTCTCATTTACATTAATTTTTTAAATATTTATACCTACACCATTTTCTTGGAATTCTAATGTTTTTCATTCCACCCTACTGGCAACACTGTCTCCCACCTACGCGCGGCACAGAGCCGGCGTTTTGCGCAAACAAAAATTTATGCCAGCAATGAAAGTTAGCAAGAGCCGTAAGATTTACATATTACTGTTTACAGCACCGCCCGCCATTATTTTTCATTTCGTGTTTCCCAAACACACGAGGGTCGCGCGAATTATTGAAACTGCTCTTCGTGGAACGTTTAGAGCGTTATATGTTCGCCAGGATATCGTTTTATTATGCCGGCAGGCAAGGGATGTTTACTTTAACTTCGGTAGTTCTCTCGTCAAAAACTTATTTTTATGGCCGTTGTGTATTCTGTTCGCGCGGAAGCCTGAAAATATAAAAAAAAAAACGTGGGAGGGGAACGATTTTTGTTTGACCCAGAAACCAAACGGTCTTGCAAAAAACAGCAAAATTTTTAGTAAAATTTTAAATAAAATATGGCACAAAAACTCGCATTGTTGGACAAATATCTTTGTTTATTATTCATTTTATCAAATATCAGACTTCAGTCTTTTACAGTGTATTTTTTTTAACTTTACTTCAATAACATATTTTCTGTATTATTTTTCTAATATATTATGTTATTGCAATTTAGAATTTATAATATTAGTACGTTTTCTCTGTGTTTTATAGTGTTATGTTTGTGTAAATTATTCAGTTTATAGTACGTGTATCTTATTGTCTGACTTATTACTTTTCAAAGGGTAGGATGGTACTTACCTATTTAAAATGGCAGTACGGCTAAATACTCATCCGCACTGTTATAGTATTTTCGAAGTCAGTTCAACATGTATAAAAACGCCTAGCAATAAAATTTAAGCGTCCCTAAAAAAGTTTTTTGCTAAAGCTAAAAAATAATAAAAATTTGTATATAATGTGTTGAAAATTTCTACTATATGTTCATTTGGCCAATAACTTATTTTAATTATTTATTTCCTCAATTTTCTTTATATAAATTATAAATTATTCGTCGAATTACGTCTTTCGTAATGTCACCAATATTTTCAAATTTTTGTTTTCGCTTTCTCTTTACGCAATGATCTATAACACATTGTTTAATAACACGAAAAATTGTGGACACTGAAACTTTATTTTTAAATTCTAAATCTATTTCATCAACAACCGGTACTATTAATTCAATATTATCTGGCGATATTTCGTTTTGTTCCGTTTCAAAAGGTCTCCAAAATGCCATGTTGTAATAATATAAACAAAATATCGCTTTTATTTCTCCTTTTCCCAATTGTAATATGAAAGATTAATAGAAGGTGCCTATAACAAATTAAAATGACCTGAATCACACCGAATTCCGCATTGCTGCACTGCACTGCTAGGCAATTTGTCGACAACTGAAACTTATGGCCGGTCGCGCAGTCCGGCTGTGTTTGCTTGCCGTTTGCCCGCGCGCGCACTCAACTGGGCGACCAGACCTGTATATGGGTATGGCTAAATAAATATGGGAACAAGTTTTTCAAATATTTTAATGCCGAGTTGTTGCGTAGCGACCGAATCTGGTACATACCGCCTAGCTCTTTGATCTTCAATTGAGATCGGAAAGACTAATAAAATAATGATTCACTGCACTTTGATTTTGAAACCAATTTGAACATTTAAGACTGAGGAAATCAGCTGTTTCGCTTCAACTTTCGAACGCTGTGGTGCGCTGGCGCGTACCCAGTCAGCAAATGTGATACAAAGTAGGGCGCCGAGTTAACGGCTTATCTTTTAAAAGGTCGAGTAAAAATTTGTGTTTATCGATTATCTGTTTTTATTAGGCCTTCCAAATACGTGGTTAAAATGAATGACATTATGACTAAATCACTCTATTATTCCTCAGACTAATTCATACTTACAAAGTTACCGAAAATACCTGCAGCGAATGAAGTATTTACGGGGAAACCACGCACTGGATTCACCGAACGCGACTTGTTTTGGTCGAACGGAAATAATTATATATGCCAAATATTCATGAAGTTTGGGCATCGGCCGGCATACTTCAATGAATGCCGAGTGCGTGAAATGGTAAATCGGTGTATGTGGTACTTTTGAACACAATTTCATGGTCGGATCGTTTTGGAGTAGAATTGTACGGAACGTATAGCCGTGCACCCACATCGGATCTATCAGTGACGCAAATTGCTTTTATATCGGGCCGATATTAGCATAGTATAATAGTTTGTGCGGACGGGGATGCGGCGGGATATGAATTCATTTCGGGCATTCCTTGATGACGATATTAACGGCTAAAAATTAATAATGGATACCAACTTAACTGTATAGTTTGGCGTGAAAGCGCGTTTCCCAGTAGTAAGCATCCTGGAATAAGCCAAAAAGGAATATTTTCCATGTAGCAAGGGCTTAAAGTTCTTGGAAACTTTATAAATAAAACGACAATTGCTTTTTCATTAACTTTTCGCACCTTAAAAAAAATAAAGTCGAAAAGAAGTTATTGATGGTTGCTCAGAACCACAAGTTTGAAACAAAAATCTGTGTCCATAATGAACGGCAACAGAAGGATGTAAAATGCCTGTAACTTGAGTGGCTTTTTGACTATTTATTTGGCAAACAAGGAATAGTTCATTCATTTAAGTCTATTGATGGCACTGCTATTTTTTTCTCACCCTGTAACACATGCCCTCAATACTTGTTATTCGCTACGTTTATTCTTCCATAAAGATAACCTTTGACCTAATACTTTTGTTTATTAAATTTCTTATTAAAATATGCCGTAAACAACCTGTGTTGCGCTCAGTGTAAGTGAGCACACAAGCAAACAATAGTGTTTTCGTGTCAGTTTTGATTTTTCTTTTATTAAATCAATGAATCTTTAAAAAAGTGAATAATTGATAAAATGAGCAGAAACACTAAGCATCGAAAAAAGAAAAACAAATCTCACATCCCCACTATTCTTCAAATGACTGACCTGTCTGAACCTTTGTATGTATTTTTTTTTATCAAATACACCAAAAAATATATTAAAGACTGCAACTATAGTTTATATAGAAAATACATTATTAACAAATTATATTTAAAATGTTTTTTAATTATTATTATTACAAATTATTCATTTAATTTTATGAATTTTATTAAAATATTTGCATTCTGTTTTGCTAGAGGACTAGTATTAATAAAACTCAAAATCATAGATTTTCTTAAAAATTTCAGTATATTGAGTTTTTGCTAGCACATTATCAATAGGTATTCAATATTTAAAAAATAAATTCTAGAAATTGTTTTGAGGTACTTAAAATTATACAGGGTATTCTGAAAGTCCGTGAGGAAACTCCGGGAGGTGATTCTAGGGATTAAAATAATAGCAGTATGAAATGATTTTTTTTTCGAATTGTCAATTGCTTGCAAGTTACAGCTTGTCAAAGTTTTTTTTGGTATATAAATAACTTATTTAATTCTAGTTCGATTACTCTCTCATTTGACTTCATTATGCGCCGCTAGAGGGCACTTTACTTAGAACTCAAAATTCGTTTTGTTTATATCTTTTTTCTCTTGCTAGATATCACAGAAATTTAAAACATTATTGAAAAGAGAAACAATATCAGAAAAAATTATGTACACTTTATTCAAGCCGATAAATGTAACCGTTAGCAGAAAATCACTATTAAAGTGTTATTAAACATCAAATTTTTGATAATTCTTTCTGCAATTAATCAAGTTGCCATGCTGTAATACCTTCTATTTCTGATACTGTTTCTCTTTTCAATAATGTTTAAATTTATGTGATGTCTAGCATGAGAAAAAAGTCCTCTAGCGGCACGTTCCGGCTTTCCTGATGGACTTTCAGAACACCCAGTATATAAAATGTTAACTTTTTATTGATTTTATTGTCTATTGCATTTGTGCTTGTTTACTCTCAATCTTTTTATTTTACGTATAAATAAACAAATAACACATAAAAATCTCAGCCTTATCTCAACTAACCGCTTCCGTTTGTTCCAGACTGGCTCCGACCCTTCAGCAGACCCAACTGTCCCAGAACATCCCATCGGGTACCGGAACCCCCCAATCGGCGGGGCCGCAACAGTCGAACCTCGTCATGCCCGTTTTCCCCCTCAGACCACCACCCCAATCCACCACTTCGCACTACTCGCCATACTCCCCGTCCAGATTCCATATCGACAAGAGATGTCAGCACCGCTGCTCCTGGAAGTGTCTCAGCATCGGACTCATAATGCTGGCGGTAGTCCTGTCCGCCATGCTGGCCTATTTCGCAGGTAAAAATCCTCCCCTTGAACGTTTATAAAACGTAGAGGCATATATTTAAGGTTAGAATATATCGCTAACATCGATTTTGTTCCAGCTGTAAGTTCAATGAAGCCGAATATGGATTCATCAAACTGTATACTAGTCCAAGACGTAAAAGACGTAACTAACGACCAAATCACCATGGGATCGGAATCCACGCAACTGCCAACGGAAGGTAGGAATGCTTACAGAGACAGCTTTTCTATTGTAAAGAATAATATTTCCACTTTGCTTCCGCCCCGCTCCGAACATAGGATAATAACAAATAATTATAATCCCAAGGAGAATTTCAATTTATCCTCTCTCGGCAAACATCACAATCCACTGCAGCCGTCGTAGCGGAAATCCTTTATTTGTTTAGGACGGGAAAAGCTTTTCGAAAAAGTCGCTCTCCAAATATAATGACGAAAAGTGTGACAAACTCCTCCTCGGATCTACTATTCCGGCGGACTAGGTTATTATTTCACTTATCTTTCACCTGGGTGGATGGCAAAAAGTTCGTTAACGCCGCGAGTTCTTCGTTAACTCGTTAGCTACTGACAATGACGTACTATAATTGCCCTCTCATCTCCATAAAGACCCTTACTTCTCAAACTAAAACTTCACCGGGGGAGAGAAAAAAAACGTAAATTACATCTGGGTTATTCAGACTGACTGAATAAACCCCGGTATTAAAACTAACAAGATCCTCGTTTTATTATGATCCTTGATGCGAAATATGCCAATTATTTCAATTTGAGAGACGTTTTTTTCTATTTCGTCGAAGGAGAATAATTGATACAAAGCGGTTTAACTACTTTGAGTATGATTTTGCTTCTTTGTCGATCAAGGTTTCTTTATAAATTCGTCATTATGCAGAGGCATGCTTGTTGTTTTTTGGAAAAGACTTGAAATAAACAAATAAGGCAAATATATAGGTAAAGACTTTTTGTTTTAGTAAATTTTCATAGCACAAATATAAGCATTTTTTCGCATTTTGATTGATAATGGGCTAATTTAATAAATTCAAAATCGTTCACTACGGTATTTACTATCCTACGGTAAATATACGTTCCTTTCTATTTTTGGTATTATATAAAGTTACAACCAACATTTTCTCATGTCTTCTATATCTTTAACAATTAAACTGCACAATTCTACATGCCTACACAAACCAAATATTATAGTAGGATTATATTCGATGCAAAGTAGAGCAAAAAATTGTCGGTCTTTTATCAAAAGAAAACCGTGTCATCATTTTTAGGATCAACCGTTTTTAAACTTTATTTAACTTTAAAATTAAATTGAATGGAAAATCTGAAATACCGCGTCATACACACTATGTTCTGGTAGTAGCTATAGTCGTCCAGGTGCATCGAGTGTACGAAGTGATCGGTTATACGTCCAATACTAACCTGGCGAGCTTGGTCGTAAATCAGAGACCGCCTCCAAAAAAAAAAACAAGTAAACAACAGTGGTGAGTACAGAGGTAAAATGTAGTACATATGTGGAATTTAAAAAACAAATTGGATTTATAATAAATTACATTTAAAATAAATAGGTTATGAGAATAAAGGATTTTCTACACCCCTTAAAACCGTACTGCACTGGAACCCTTGACAGGCAATGATTTATTACTTTGCATCGAATATGATCCTACTGTAGTACCACTTTCATTAAGAACTTATCGTCTGGAGCTTCTTTTAAAAATATAGTAATGTTTTCCTTAGTCAAAACTTTTGATTTCTTTGCTTCGTATTTCGTCGTTTTAAAAAAGCAAGTAATTTTCTATATTGTGATTATCCATATTTTCGTTTTATCTGTATAGTACTTTTCAACATGAAATATGTACACCATAAATTGGATGCCTTAAAAGATTTTGCCTAAAATGACGAAAGACATTACACGAAAAACACTAAAATATGTATAAAAAATAGCTTACCTTCTCATAAAAATACGCTAGCAGTACACTTTCATCAGTTCTTAGTGCATTTTTTTGTCATCCCGCACTTTTATAAAATATTTACTTTGGCTTCTCGTACTTTTCCTTGGATTTTAAAGGAAGCTCGAAGACGCTTCTCGAGTAGCATTTAAAATGTCTTCAGAACAATTTTCTAAATTGTTTTCAGTAGCAAAACTCATTTTTGTAATTAATATATAACTTAGAACTCACAAAAATGAAAGTTAACTGTTATTATATAAATAAACAAAGCCGTATCGGATTACTAGGTTACAAATCTCGTAAGAAACTCATATAACTTTTATCCTGAAGGGCTATATTCGTTTAGTAAAACATTCCTTTTCTAAACTTCTGCAGTTATCTTTGCAATTTCTCTTTTAAAAACTGGTTTAAATGTACCTATTTTCTCTGGCAACAACTCCTTTTAATAATCTGCGATGTGTGATGTTTTCGGAAGTAGTACTAAATGGTATCTAATTTGAAGATTTCTAAATTCCAAAAGTGATAAAACTGACCTACTGACCTATTGAACTACATTTTTCAGTCATATTTAGACAGACTATAAGTTAAATACGAAATAAAAGTTGATCACTTGTTCCGCACTCGACCGCGCGGTGTGTACATACCTTTACCCGTACCGTTTCTCTCCCCGGATCCAATTTAACTTTCCCCGAACAACCACCTACCGAATGTGATCTCACGGTGAACATCGGTCGCCACACCTCGCAAATTTGCTTAGCCGCCTGCCCCATACCCCATAAATCTCCATCTAACCGTCGCCTTTGCCTCCAGAATCGCTGCCTACCAGCACGGCGGAGCACTCGAGCGCCACGACCCAACACAGCTCCTTGCAGCCGCCGCAGCAACGCAGCCAGCCGCAGACCCAGTGGCCGCCGCTGCCCATCCTGGAGCAGCGCGAGCTCGACACCCTACACACGGCCACCATCCCTCCATATCAGTTCTGGAACTCCGAGTTCCGGAATAAACAGCCGGCGTTCATCCGGTTCAATTTCACGCTGCCGTGGGGCGCCAACTTCGCCGTATACGGTCGGAGGAACGTGGCGCCCAGCGTGACGCAGTACGACTTCGTGGAGTTCGTCAAGGGCGGCAGGGTCGACCACAGGCTGAGGAAGAGGGACGTCGCCAAAGGTGAGTACACAGTCTGGACCGTTATTAACGTCCTATACCTAAAGAAGTTCAGAAATAAATTCCTGGGATTTTTTTTCAATCCAGTAGGCTTCACTGTACTAAAAAACTTTCCATTTTCAATTAAAACTATTGCAAGGAAACTTATAAAGAAAAAAAATCTCCCAATGCGAAAAAGGATATTGCCGCACGACTTAATTCCTCAACGGCGATTTGATCAACGCCATTTACTAAATTCATCGCGATATTCGGCATAATTACTCGAAAATTGCGGGGCACAATGCCGCGCCACGGTGTGACGAGCGATGGGGGAGAAGAGAATCCACCGTAGACCGAGGAAGAAGTGTATTTCCGAAGGTAGGGAAGGAGACAATGTAGCTGGCAATCATCCACCAGTCAGCGCTTTTTTTAGCGTTTAACCTAGGTTCCCGCAGTGTGAGGGTTAATGAAAAACGAAACAAAACCCTCTCGGAAGGAAATCGTTCGGGGATGAATTGCAAACCGCTTTTTGCCGTTCCTAAAAAGACGTGGCGGAACAATAGGAAAAAGATGCGAGTTCCTTACGGAACGTTTAGAGAACGGACATAAAAAGTGCCTTTCTTATTTTTTCGCCTAAATAAAAACAAATTATAATATAAAAGAGGGCGAAAACGTACCGGTCGGTCTCGAAAATGTTAGTTTTCATCAGAATACACAGAAATAAGTAAAGGATATAATTTAATTGAATATTTTATAGGTATATTTACATTGAAAATTAATTTGTAACTCCGAAGTAAATAATTGCTCTAAACCAGTTTATCTAGTCGTTAGCCGCTAAGACCATTTCAGATTATTTGTTTATAATAATTATAATTAGAAGCTAGTTTACTTCTGAGTGTTTCAATTTATGTAGGCCTTAGTAATAGAAATAAATTTAGTAAGTATATTTCCAGTTGTATCCATTTTAAACACGGATAAGATTGATAAAATTCTGAACAGTAAAAAATCTTGCTATCTCTGCTGCGATATACACTGATACTTACGTTCATTTGAGAAAGGATGTTGCACTACAAACAGAAAATTACTTTTGGGTATTGTTACAATAAAGGAAATATAACAGACTCCTGGAATTAAACTTTCTTCACTGTAGCTGCTAAACTCTAAACCGAGGGTAAGTTCACGTGGAGTCTCCCCCACGTAAAAGATAGAGAAACTGGCGCCCGAGACTAACCAAACAAAAAGAATAAAACCGAAGTACGTTCCTGTGTTGTCATTCACCGCCACCGGCTACCGAACACCGCTGCTGATAAAACAATAGTCAAGGGTCGTAACAAAATTAGGCGCCCAAGCAGGGACGTCACAAAATCTCTCTAATTAGGCCGAAAAAGATTAGCAATAAAAAAATGTTTGATATACAGTTTAATCTTATTGAATTTCTCATACGAGATTCTATTTCAGGTAAAAGTACGTACAGGAATAATTATTCTTTTTGGCAATCTGTATAACTTATTTAAAACAAATTATCAAATATATGTAAACGACTACTGTCGTCTCATATTTCTTTGAAGAGTTTTCAACTACTAATCTATTCCGATATTGATTAAAATTGCAAATGACGATCCAACGTACAAGTGTATATACAAGTCAAGTATATTATGTTTCAGAAACCGGCGAGGACGACTTGGCGATGCCCGGCCTGGCCCAATTCAAATTTTCCTACGATCACAGGAATTCCCACAAGAGCGACGTGTTAGATTCCATATCCAGCTCGTACGAAGGCACGCGGAAGATCCTCGCCGATTCCGAGCCCAGGGGACCTTTCTACGTGCCGCACGACATCAAAATAGATTTCCAAAAAGATTTGCCGGATGATTTTCCAAAAGATTTTAGCACCGATTTACCCCACCCCACCGTCGATCTGGGGATTGCGATGGACGAGCACGTCATCTCTAAGAGGGAGGCGGAGATGGAGCCCATGCTGGTTAACGTCAGTCTGCTGCAGTATCTGGACACTGGGAGGTGGTTCTTGTCGGTAAGATCTAGTGTTTTTCATACAATGTGTTTCGCGAAGAAGTGAGCAAAGTTTACGAGACATTCCACTGTTTGCCATGGCATTTCTATTTTAGTGAATCGCGAAAATTGAAACACAGGTAAAAATATTTAATCGTAGAGCTTTACTGGATCAGAAAATTCAATCTATCCTCGTGTTATTAAGAAAAATTATAGTAATTATAGATATTATTATTGTACAATTGCAGTATTTTGTCCATAAACGAAACTGAAAGAACGTCATCTTCAATTCTATTCGGTTGTTAAATAAATACCGCCATAAAACGACGATACGGACACGGTAGTCCATATATCAGGGGTAGCTCACTCTGTTTTCTCCTTTTAAAGGTCTACAACGACGAGCTGCAGCCCCACACCGTGTCCCTTATCATCTCCGAGGCGGAAGGCGTGAGCACGACATGCCCCAACGATTGCTCAGGTCGCGGCTCCTGCTACCTGGGAAAGTGCGATTGCATAGACGGGTTCCAGGGGATCGACTGTTCCAAGAGTGAGTATTTACTTTATCTTGGCGTTCCCTCCTACTTTTCTCTTGATTCCATTAGGACCGGGGGAGATAAATGCGGACTGTGCTCCTAACGAAGTAGGCTCTGCTTTCAGCGAATGTTTCAGGTCGGCCGGCTAAGATTGTTAGGGCCAACAATGGAGACGTATCGCTGGTGTACACGGTCGTCGGCAACTTTTATAGGCTTTTCGAAACTTTGCATTTTTATAGATTTTGAGGTAGACTTTTCAGATCTCAACTTTCCAAAAATGGTGATAAAATATACCAAATTATAGTAGACGCACTTTCCTGCATTATTTTTTTATGCAATTAACTATTCAAGCGTACCAACTCAATTAAATAGGGAACACATTCTTGGCAAGAAACCCATAAAATATCTTGATGTCACTGAGTATTTTCAAAATTGGATAAGTGCATTGGATTTTGAATAGCATTTCAATGAAAAAGGTCCCTTCCATTTTATTTTGTAAGCGAGCTATTTGCGAAGTATTTTTTAAGTCTGAAATAGCTTAGGTACAATCCCGGGGTCATTAATCTTTAATTCCGGGATCATTGACCTTTTGCGCTAGAGTGATGGACCTTTTGTCATGGGGTCATTGGGCTTTTGCCATGTGGTCATCGGCTTTTTGTCACCGGGTCATTGGCCTTTTATAATGAAGTCATTGGCCTTTTGTCATGGGGTCATTGACTTTTGTCATGGGGTCATTGACCTTTTCACATAATATCAAAGGGTCGAAAGGCTCTTGAGTCATTGGTCTTTGTTTCAATTTGCTTAATACTAAAATTGAGTAAACAATACGGGAATTAATAAATGTTCCTTAAAAATGCCTAGCTAGGCCACTTTCAAGATGTAGGTACTCAAACATGTTTCTTAATATTCCAAATATAAAAATCATTGTTCAAAATCTACTGGTATAATATCTGGTTTGATGCGTTTAAACAAATATTGCAAGATTAGGATCGTGTTCTTTTAAATCTTTCTTCTTTTTTCTTTGGTTTGTTTTCTTCACTCTCTTTAACTATTTTACTATCATTTAATTAAATTTTGTCTGTATATAACAATGTTTTTTTCGTAAAAAAAAGATCACATAGTTGAAATTTAAAAAGAGCACCTTACCTTTAAGACCGTTAAGTTTATCACTGTATATCCTTGAGAAAACAAATGTTGTTATAATTGTTAAAAAGAGTAAAGTGCTATTTTGATAATTTAATCAAATATGCACATGTTTAAAATGAAAAAGTTACATGTCGTAGTAATAAAAGTTCTAATATTGTCGAAATTAAGGGTATATCTGTACAACCGCTAATATAGTAGTTGTTAATACAGTCTTAAATTAGTTCACATGTAAAGTGACTGTTAATTCTTATGCTAAATACAAATTAGCGTGTTTTACAGAAACCTGGCCTTAAATTTAGCAGTTAAAAATTAGGACAACTTCTCACTTATCAACGAGAAACATATACCTCAAGAATTTCGGAAATATATGTAAATATAAGCAATCAAGATCTGGGTTTCTGCCGTCAAAGCATTCGGTTCTAGTTTTCCTGGAAGTAGGAAATCCGCAAACATTTACATTTTCCGTACATTCGCAAGTTTCTGCATGCAAGGAGTTGTCCTTTTCTGAACTTCTGCCGCCGCATTCGTTCCCATTCTTCCTAGTTGCAGTTCCCGTGATTTAATTAAACAGCTAACGAATAACGGCGTCACTGCAGACTTCCACTGTCGAAAATAATTGCATTTATAGAATCGGTACTACACCAGAATACTCTTTGTCAGTCCGTTTTAAATGCGTCGGTAAATGTTTTACATCTGTAGAAGGGGTCGCTTCTAATCCGCGCAAATCAGGAACTTACTTGGCTTTCATTAAGCGAGGGGGGGAGGAGTGGTGTTCCTGTGCGTAATTTTCAGAGAATTTATAGCAGTTCTTTGTCAAGAGTAAATTTTAAATACCGATGTTGTATACTTTCGACTGCATTACAAGAGAGCAATGGATATCATTTATAAATAAAATAAATAACAGTGGCCTAAGTACTGACCCTTGTGGCACACCAGATTGTGTTTTTACTAACCGTAATCTGTGGAAACATATTGGACTTTGTATTGTTATTCTTTGATGCAGAGTACGATTCCTTCATCGAACCGAATTATGTACCCGACCAACGTAATTTTCCCAAAGACGCCAAAGCGCGGGCTTAAGTGGTCTCAGCCAAATTGCGAACAGCCCCACTTAATTACCGTGAAACCGAGCCCCAGTCGCCGTTATGGAGCGCCATTTTTGATGGCCAACAATACCCCTTTATCTCCCCGACCACAATTATCTTGTCAATCCCCTATCCGGTATATTCCCGAGCCCTAACCGTCTTATTGTTCTTGCAGGTGTGTGCCCTGTGCTCTGCTCCGGCCACGGACAGTACGGGGGCGGCCTCTGCCACTGCGAGGAGGGCTGGAAGGGGCCCGAATGCGATATCCCCGAGAGCGACTGCCGCGTGGCCGACTGCTCGGGTCACGGGCAATGCGTGCGGGGGTCCTGCCACTGCAAAGCTGGATGGAAAGGTAATATGTTGGAGCAATCTATATAGACAGCTTGTTGGATAATAATATGCTGCACCTTCGCCGTAAATTAAAACGATCTCCGAGTTGGTATCGACGTAACCATTTTTGACATTTGAAAAACTACTGTAAACACTAGCGCAAAGACGATAATAATCGGATTTCAGTATTCGGAATCGCCTAGAGCACAGCGCACAACGCGGATAGAATGCATTCCGATGACGCTAATGTTGAAAACACTACAACTTCAATAATTTTTTTCTCGCAAACTATAAGAATCTTACGAAATTATTTTGTATAACTTGTGAATCATTCTGTATATCATTTTGTGCGGAATTTCGCTTGTGGAAGCGACCCTGTCGCTTCCCGTTCGAGTCGCGAGCACTATTCCGCGAGTGCCCCTAAAAAACAACTCCGCAAAATTAATTAGGTTAAGACGGACTCCCGTCCGTGCTGATCGATACCCTTGTTTATCTTGTAGGTGAGGGCTGCGAAGAGCCAGACTGCGAAGATCCCACTTGCTCGGAGCACGGTGCCTGCGTCCACGGCCAGTGTTATTGCAAGGCGGGGTGGAAGGGGGCTAATTGTAACGTAATAGACGAGCAGGTCCACAAGTGTTTGCCTACATGCTCCGAGCATGGAGTGTATGATTTGGAAGCCGCCAAGTGTGTCTGTAACAGGCACTGGACGGGTCCCGACTGTTCGCAAGGTATGTTTTTATTTACACTGTTGAAGGTATGTATCGTGTTACACGTATGCTTGGAGCTCTACTCCAACATGGCGTCGAAGCTGATCGAACGAAATAAAATGTTAGACTAACCCAACCAAAATTGGATCAATATTAAATTTAATTTTAATAAGTGCATCCGCATCTAAATTAAGGTAAATGTACCAGTAATCGTCAAGTTAATCGTACTACTTTTTTTTATCTGTTTCGCTCTCTTCCTTCGGTTGCAATTTTTTTTCAATATAGATCGCATCTTTTTTTTGAAAACAATTTTGCTCTTTGCCACATCTTATTATCTTTAAACCTACACTTTTTTATATTTAATTGCTAAGGATTACTGGTACGTGTATGTATGCTATCTGTTGGTGTAGGAGCAATTTGAGAGCAGTTAGAGAGGTCAACGTCCACATTTATAATTTTATTTGGAAATCATATTTGCAATTTTAAATATCAACAAAGTATACATAATTTGACTTTTCAGATAAAGCAGAAAGCTTATTCCAAAAAGGTGTTAATTCCCCTCCAACTGAAATGGACTATCAGAACGTTATGTTAATTTATTTATGAATTCACGTACTCATCACATCATGAGCGGGTACTTTTCAGAATTTGTTCTGCATTTTCCGCGTCGCCTAGAGCGAACATACGGACGTCACAGGGTATCACTCTTTTCCAGGGAAAGGCGACAGCAGTTTAATTATTTAAATTTAGACCATTTTTCTCTGCGGTACTAAGTAAAATATAAATTCTTATTTCCTGCAGCACGGAGAGTTATTATGAATTATCGTCCATTGTCTTTCTACAGTTAAATTTGAATAAGCGCAAACATTAAACTCTTTCCCTGCCTTTCCCCTTTATTTTCACTGCTGATCACGAGGCGGGCGCTTTTTAACGGTTAGAATTAAGAACTGCACAGTTTATTAACTCAGAAGGAATGTAAATGTCTTAAAATGATACGCTTCAATCAAATTATTGCAGATTCAACAGAAAGTTATCCAATAACAAGTGTTGTTGCAAGACAAGAGCAGTTGTAAACATCGCCTGTCTTATTTTTTGTAGATACTTTTTACAGGAACACTTTTTTAATATACTTTTAACCAACTTTGCATGGCTTCAAATGACTCATTATGGTCTGCAAACTTCTTACTGCAATTGTTCTTTGAAGGTTCACTAGCATGTCTCTGTATCGAGTACTAGTTATACCTAAACCATGATCAGCCTAGATTTCCCAAAGGAGATTGTAAATTGTAGATTGTAGATCATTGATGGTGCATGGTGTTGATGATTGTACCACCGTTCGTTTCCGCTGTAACCACTCATAAGTCTATTGCACCTCCATAATCTTACGGTTCCGCAACTTTAGCCTTCTGACTGGGCTCCACAGCTTTGACAATGAATGACTCCTACCTTAGTATTATGCTAATTGATCTACGACTTTGGTTCTGTAGGTCTGCCAACAGCTTCTTTGATGGTCCTTTCTTGCTACCATTTTAGGATATTATCTTTCATCCATTTCCGCATACGTGTGATATACCTGTTCTGGTTGATTCATTACTCACAACAGAGATGTGATTTTGAGTTGTTTACAATGACGCAATATGAGAAAAAGGTTTTCCACCCCAATAATTGTTCCTTGCCTTCTAGTTAGTAGTGATGTATCAAGACAAGATTTGTTTGGAACATTTGTGGGGTTGGAAGTTTACATAATGAAATCGGAAGTGAGAATGTTAAAATCAACAACAAATCCCGCTACTCCACCAAAAATAGATCACTCTTTGTACGTATCGAAAATTTCTGACGCGTCTCCAAAGAAATGTTATCACGATGTTCGATTCAAAACGAACAGCCCGATCGTCGATCCAAATCCACCCCTTTCGATCATGACGATCCGTTCCCGACCTCCGAACTTTGACGGACAGCTGTGCTGACCACATATCTGTTTTGTTTCAGCGCTTTGCAACCTGGACTGCGGTCCCCACGGCCAATGCGACACGGGCAAATGCCGCTGCGACCCCGGGTGGACGGGGCCCCGCTGCGAACAGCTCCCCTGCGACGTCAGGTGTCAGGAGCACGGCCAGTGCCGGAACGGCACGTGCGTCTGCTCCCAGGGCTGGAACGGACGCCACTGCACGCTGCGTGAGTCGCTCCTTTTCGCCAACTTCCAAACTCGATTCCTGCGTCGAATTCGGGTGGCGGTAGTTCGCCGGATTAATATTCTATTAGCGAACGTTGTTTCCCGAAACTCCGAACGAGGCCGTAAATATTTAGGGGGATTTAAAATGCGGGGGGCGGGGTGTGGGGCTGCTGACGCTGATTGCAAGACACAGGGTGTCCCGTGATTATCTGTTGATAAGTTAAAATTCAACAGGACAAAAAGTTAACATACAATGTTTTCATTTAAATATATATTAATATATGAGTGGTTCGAATTCACCAATTTTTCACTAAAACTTTTCTTATTAGTAGCATCTGAACTATTTGTGAAAAATTAATTCATTTTTTGTATATAAGAGGCTCAAAAGTGTCGTCATTACCCGTTGAAATATGTTAGGTGCATTTAAAAGACCAAAAGGGATTCTATTATATTCGCTATGGCCTTAAGATGTAACAAAAGCGATGTATCGCATGGGTGTGTCTTCGATTGGCTCTTGGTGATATCCTGAATATGCAAGTGGTTCAAACTCTCCACAGTGCCTACCTAGAATACACCAAGTAGCTCAAATTGTCCGCAATTGCGTATACCATAAGTAATCGAAGGATCTTCAAGACAGAATAGCAAAATTCCGGTACTGCAGACTTTAATAGCAATAGCAATTTTCATTCACTTGTCACATTAGACCCATTTTCCACACCTCACAAATTTAAAATTAATATGAAAAACAAGCCAACGCCCTTTTTACAGTTACAACCAGTTCAAGGAACTGTTTGTCTTGAACGAAAAAATACGGGGGCGCAAGACCCAAACCAATCTACAAATGCCTCGCATATGCATACACACAGCTAAAGAAATATTTTATTTATTGTATGAACGTGTTTATCCTTTCCAAAGGTCACACTTTTTCTTCATATCTTTCCTTGAAAAGGAATGCTAACCGCCTTATCAATTCAAATGTCATTCGCCGAAAGTCGTAAATTTTCCATAAAACGAAACATACGTCTAGCCGGAACTCCAGAAATCAATATGGGGGTGATTCTTTCGTCAGGGGTAGACACCAGGACATGTCAGGCACAGCAGTGTGGACAATTTGAAATTAATTTTAAAATTTTATGAACCGAAAATCGAAAAACGAAATTTTAAGACCCTTTTTCTGGCAAGTCTTAGATTGATGTTTTTCTGTTAGCTAACCCTCAAAAGTCTTGTTTAAATTTTGCATAGATAACGGGTTCGCTCTTGATTTTAAATGTAAGGGGTGAAAGCGGGTCGTGTTTTATTTTGAAGGCGGCGCCGATATTTATTCGAGAAAAAGACGACATTTAATTAAACACGTATCTAGGTAAATATCTCATTAATATTAATTACGCTGGACCCCTAACTGGGCAGGAGCGCCTGCTAAGGGAAATTTAAAAATTAATTACAGACCAGTTGCGGATCGGAATTGGATACCAATTATATGCAAATTTTCGAATTTGAGCAAAATCTGAATCAATATTTTTTTAAGATACCCCCTACCCCTTATTATATTTGCGGATTTCAACTAGGAACTTGAATTGTTCCGATACGAAGTCGAAAGTGAGGCACAGGAATCGAGATTTGACGACAATTCCGTGGAAAAAACTATCATGGTTCAGTTAGTGATTCACATTTAACCAGAAAAAAAGTGTTAAGGACAAAAACGTAGGTATGCATGTTAACAATAATGGATATTTTCCAGCTGGATGCGAAAATGGATGCTCCGGCCATGGTCAGTGCACGTTAGAAGAAGGATTATATAAATGCGTGTGTATCCAGGGATGGGCAGGATCAGACTGCAGCATTCCCTTGGAACAGGATTGCCAGGACGACATTGACAACGATCACGGTAACTACAACTAATCAATTTTATTTTATTGCGCTCTGTTATAGGTATAACATTCTTTTAAAACTAATATTTTTTAACTAAGATCAAATATATGATTATTAATACATACACTAATGCAAACAATTCAAAAGAAAGATGAAAAAAAATATTTTTTACGAAAAGTTGCGGCAACATGTTATAGGAAATTTATTCCATTTTTCGAAACTGCCCTTCAATTCTATGTACGACCATTTGTCGCCGAGATATCGATGATTGAAGACAAAAGGATCCTTTTCCATTAAAAGTCCGATATTTCGATGAAAAATAATCGTATCGAAATTTAAAAAGAAGGAAATTGAAGCTGAATAAACTAGCTATCTGGTCCATGCAATGGCTTAGCTGAAAAAATTTTTTCCAAGTCCTTAGAATTGCATGATAACCGTAGCAACTAAAAAATTAAGAATCTTAGAGCTTCAAGATGCTTTTTTTAATACCCAATACGACCATTTTTCACCTAAATCCAGTCTGTCAAAAATCATGGAAAAATTTCGGAAATTCTTTTGACCCTAAATGTTTGCATTAGTATACATGAATCTACAATTTCAAAAGCAACAATTTCTGATCCAAAACAATTTACCAGAACACCAAAAATATCCAACGAATAATTTCTTTGGGGTTTAAAGCGTTAATAAACAGATTTTTCCGAGCAAAACTGCAATATTATGCGGAAAACTCCTTTGTTTCTATTTCCCTCCTGTCTGTCGCCTCCCTCAGTATGAAAATCTCGTGTTTCTAGACGGCATGATCGATTGCTCAGACAGCGAGTGCTGTTCTCACCCCAGCTGCTCGGATCATATCATGTGTATATCCAGCAACGATCCTGTGGAGGTCCTGCTAAGGAAGCAACCGCCTTCTGTGACCGCCTCGTTTTACCAGCGCGTTAAGTTTCTCATCGAAGAGAACTCCGTACAGTCGTACGCCCACATGGACGAGTACACGGAGAGGTAAGTAAGCCCTTTCACTGACTGTATTTTTTTTAGAGCTTTTTACTCTGAAATCCCGACAGCGGTACCCCCATTTTATCGACGGCCACCATTTAATATTCAGAGACTCGTGTTTCAATCTTAGATATGCTGGGAAATAATTCAAAGTAGAAAATAAAAAGTAAATTCGGAACATTAAAGAGCTTACTGCTCAAAAGTTGGGACAGAATTGATAACATTCCTGTTTCCTTTGAAATTTTCAAAGCTGTAGAGTTTAACAAAATCAAATTAATATCTACCAGCGACAGGAGATATATTTACAAGCAAAATTCAAAAATTTATCTAAAATAAATGTTGGAGTGTAGATTAAAAGACAGTTTCATTTTTTTAATCATAAAACCTACTATAGAATATTTTTTAATGTTCGTAACTTCATATGTACAGGGTGAGGCACTATAATTACAAAAGTTTTAACTTTTTCATAGATTTTTATAATACAGTATTAGAGAAAACAATTGAATAATGGAAATCACTAAATTAAAGAAAAAAAAATTTAATGGAACACCCTATATTTTAGTGCATACTTATTTCTTTGTTTGTAATAGGAAATAAATTAATGATCATAAATAAACTTCTGCCAAAGTCATTTGTTTGTTCCTCGTGCCTCGTCCATAGCCACTGCGATCCGTCAGCCATAAATTTCCCTCCAATTTTTTCAAAAATAGTTTTAAACTTAAAAAATTTCTTTAATTTAACAATTTCCATTATTGAATTGTTTTTTCTAATGCTGTATTATAAAAATTCATAAAAGCGCTAAAACTTTTGTATTAAAAACTTTTTTGTAATTTCAATAATAAACTCACAATAAGTTGTCAGATTATAGTGACTAACCCTGTACATATAGAGGTGTTAACTCGACCGACAAATTTCTAAAGGGTGTTCTTTACCTCTTGCGTAAAGATATCGGCTTAAATATAACCTGTTAATAATTTGCTTCTTTTAATACATTTTTAACCAGTTGAAATATCAGTACCAAATTTAGGACACGTTTTTTGATATTGATGATATTTATAAAGGGTAGAAAATCTGTTGAGTGGAACCTACCTGACAAAAAAAGCAAGTTTAGACCTTCTCTCGATCGTATAATCCTGTGGCATAAAATAATGATGGTACCTGAAAATATTGCTCTTGGAAATTTTTGCTAAAGGATGTGGAACGAAGAAAGATTTAAAAAGCATAAGCAACATGTAACTATCTTACCGAAGATAACACGTCAAATAGCTGTAATATTCATTTTCACATACAAATAAATGTTTCTAAACAATGAATATGACTATATAAAGTAAGATTTCCAAGTTTTCAAGGTTAGGTTGAAATTCTAACCTATATGTTCAAATACTAAGCAAGTACTTGAACATTAATTTTCATTAAATTACTACAAACAATGTTTGACATTGTCATAATGTCAGCTTTTCATCAAAAGAAAACACCATTTTTTGCTATTTCGACATTTCGACCTATCTCTTTGAGATAGATGTATTTTTTGAGGTTAGAAATATATTCAGACCTGATGGCGCATTTTGTTTAATGTAGAATATAAAAAGTATTCAAAATTATTTCCCAGTAAAAGGCAAGCACGTACAATTCATTTTCTTATTACTTTACGCCATAAAATGGGGGTACACAGAGGGTGCAAACAGCCACGCTGCGCGACCTCCTTTCGCGGCTCACAGGACTTCAGCTCTGCACGTTTGAGTGGATGTCGGGGGTCAACTACACCCTGACCACTTGCTCGGGCAACGCACCCCCCCTTTAGCGGAGCTCTATCCCACTGACCCCGTAACCAGCCCCGTCCCCCCGCGCGTTGCGTCCCCTTTCCCAAGTTATACCCGAGGTATATCCGAGGAATGGCGGGTACAACGACGCGGGATACTCATTGTGTTTTGTCTGAAACTCCTTGTGTTCGTCTAAACCCCCAAGCATCCTCCCCCCATAGCCCGAGCTGTCGCTCAGAATGCGGAATTTCGCTAGTTAGGGCCCCTGTATGGGGGTCCTGATTTTTTAAATAGTCGGGGTACTGTCCGATAACGCTGTTGTTTATTAATATGTTACCATTTAGTTATAGGTATGTATTATGACGACATGGTGGACACAAGTTGAGCATGCAGTGTTGTTTGACGATCACTTTGTATTAGATCTTATCGTTCATGGACACTAACGATTGAGACCAGCGAAATTCGGTCCGGTTGAAAATTTAGATGATTTCTGGAAAAGTGAAAATTATTCCGAGGTTTTTCTTCTCATTGTTAGCTCAGAAGGTGGAAACACTATTATCCAAATTATATGTTCGCATTATAACCATTTACACCGCTTTTTATTGAAGCTTTGTGAAGTGTTTCAAATATTACATAAAACCTTGCAAACAAATCAGATATATTAAATTTATACATTATTCTATGCATTACCGGCATCTCCAGCAAAATATTGAAAATTCTTACGAATCTATAGTGTATAAGTTTGAATCAACGGGGGGTCATATTTACACAGAGTTTACCTTTGACCTTTAGGAACGATTATTTCCTCAAATTCCATTGGGGAAACCGATTTTTTTGTTCGTAATTTTCATACCCCGCCGCTAGACGCGATAGTATAACGCGAGCGCGAGCTACGACACAGTGTCTTAAAAAATAGTAACAAATATTTTTTATTGAAACTGGAAATGATTTCAGATTTGTCAGGTTTTTATTTCATTTTTTATTATGGATACGTACTTTGTAATATTATAAAAGTAATAATTTTTACTTACAGTCACATACGTAAATCGTGAAAATATTATTAGTTTTTTTAGGCATTTCATTCGGACTGACATCAAAAAAATATGGTGGCTTTAAAATAATATGTCATACAAACGCGATCTGTTTTTTTTTAATTATTTTCCATTGCTTTCACTCTCTGCCATTTGCTACACATGCAAGCCATTTTTGACACTAACTATTAAAAAACTTTTGTAAACACTATTGCAACGACGATTGTAAAATCGGATTTCAGTATTCGGAGTCGCTGAGACTACAGTTGTCCAACTATGTAATGGTTGAAAGTAGTACAACTTCAATAATTTTTTTCTGAGAAACTATAAGGATTTTACAAAATTTTTTTTGGATAAGTTGTGAAACACCCTGTATTTTTTGCTATTTCTAGACAATTTTTTCTAGACAAGTAAATTTCTCTTAAAATCGGTCATTAAAAATAGACGTTCTCTGGTAGACAAATAATGCTTTGACTTTATGATTATTAAAACCATCAATAATTTTATAGCTACATAAGTTTCTCCAAAATGTAATCGCTACTAAACTATATAATGGGCAAGTCGAGCAGTTGCCCCCGACTCTACTGAAAGCTTCAATTCACTCGCTTAAGATACTAGCCAAATCCCTTAATAAATTCGGAAGCACATTAGGGCTTAGAAGCTATTGGAATAGACTGGATATAGGGCGACATTTAATTTGGGTTCACCTTCCTCTGCTTACAATTATTGCTAGTTATGTGAGAATTATCAACTGTTTATTGCATGCAAAAAAACTACGTTGTAAGTATGTCATTTGTTAATTTAATCATTAACTTATGAAGACGACTACAACATAGAAATTTCATGAACTACCCCCACTATTTTTCCATGAAAAAAACACCCCCAGTTTTGTATTATTTTTAAAAATTATTTGGATATAGTTCATGTAATCTCCAAACAACATCCAAACGAAAAAAAAAAATAAATTTCACGTACGATTTTTTTGTGTTAACTTTATCATTTACTATTTTTATGGCCTCTGAAAATCATCAAATCCGATGATTTTCAGAGGATTTATAAAATTTAAAATTCACATTTTGTTGTTGAAAACAATCTTCGCAATGGGAGATATTCGCCGGATAGGGATTTTAATACTTCCGATCGATAGGACAAATGACGCCGACGAATGGAATTCCTAAAAATTAACCGAAAATCACATCGACGCTCGATGTTCTGCCGCTCAAAGGCCAAACCAAACAAAAGCCGAATTTCGCCTGGTCTCGGTTCAAAGTTCGCAGTGGTACACACAAACCTTTACTCATGTGTTTGCATATTATAGAGCCGTTCTTCCATTGTTTGTTTTGTTTGCTAGTAGACCTTTTTGCCTAACTTGTGTCTGTCATTGTCTGTAGCTACAGTTTGTTTTTTTATTGTGTGTCCGTCATATTGTCTCGTCACGAAACCGACTGATAGAGAAGCAGAGTGAATGTTAGAGCAAATTGTCCGTCTAAACTGTACTTTGGGATGCCCTGATAGAGGTTACTTTCACACAAACTAAAAAAAAATAGGTTGCCAAATATAGAACCTCAACCCTTTAGAAATAATTTATAAAAAAATCAGTTTTTGAAATTATAATTCAAAATTACAGTTAAATGTACTTCAAGGTAAGATAAAGAATTACTTCTTAAAAATATGTCGTGATAAAATTTTCACTGACAAACTACGTTTCGTTCTTGTAAAACCATGATCAGTTTAACAAAAATGGGATCATACAAGGTCATTCCTGACATTTACAGAGTAAAAAACAATACTTTCCCAACATTCAATATGCACAGGGCGTTCAAATATCGCCTTAACCGTAGGTAGGAGTGAACAACAAAAAATTTATGAAATTTTGGCATTTTGAGAAACGATCGTGTATTATTAAAAAATTTGCTGCATATTTTTATTTCTGAAAAATTAAATAGGCCTTAGCAAAAAATGTACTTTCTTTGTAGGTATATTCGTTTTTCATTTAAAATAACAATTTTTTTGAAGAAAGTTATTAACAATTAAAATTTATGGTCACTTATCAAGTTTGAAGATTACCAAGAATTTGAATTATCAAATTAAAACCGATTGCCACCAAAGGGACATTAATATAAATTTTAATTTTAAAGAACTTCTACTAAAATTTTCCTCGACATTTTACAAAAAAAAGAGCATTGTAGCTGCGCAGCATGAAGATATTGGAAAA